GAATTTAATCTCTGGTGTAGTTCCGACTTCGGAAGCTTTTATGTTCACTTTATTATTGACATTACGCAGTCAAAAAGTGTTTAAGGTACGTAGAAAAGCCGCCAGTGGCATGACGCTCATACTAAATTTCATGAAAATTCGTCAGCTAGTTCAGATTTACTGTTGTATTACGTGTAATGTTCCTTGTCCCTCGTTTAAAACGAATAGTGGTCAGGTTTCTTGGACCTCAGAAGTTCGCATAAACCACCACCCTAAGGCAAGGTAAATCCATCGACAAATGACGGCATTTGGCAACACTGCGCCTAGCTTCGCGGGCTAATGGAATACGGTCCTTCGTTAAAGAATAACAGTCGCTCATCTCGTCAAAAAATCCACTGCATTATGAGCCAGACGAATGCCTTCCACATCCTCCCACACTATTTATTCAGATCAATTTTAATATTATCCTCCCGTCTATACCTAGGTTTTACCACTGGTCCCTTATCTTCAGATTTCTCGACTAAAATGTTACATATCTGCACTTCTAATCTCGACTTACATCTCCACTCTAATAAAAAAAAATATTGGTTGTGAAAACTTCCAAGTTCCTGCCAATTCCTTTGTCTTATTTCGAAATATATTCGTGTAATTACATTTACCAATATCCTGTGATTCTGAGTACGTAAATGACAAATTTATAGATGCGCTAATCACATTTAGTTGTTAGTTGTGCATTGTCTACTGTAGAGTTTCGATAGTTTTCTCAGCTACCTTCTTCAGGTCGTTGTTATTATCCTGACAGACATGTTTCATTCGATATTATCGGCGGAGGCAAAACCCCGAACGCATCTGCACGACCAGTAAACTTTCGTGACAGAGATCATCGCACAATGACAGTCAAAACAGATGAAGACTTGGTCAGAGCCTCTGTTTCAACGCCTCTGGCACCCTCGAAATCCTTTGAATAATCAATGAAGAACTGTAGAGGCTTTTAGTGACAGGAAGATTTATCTTCCCTTCCAATCAACAAATTATCGTGAGCTGAAGCGAAATTTATGAATCGTAAGAAATGCGTCCTTCGATCTGTCACTGCAACTACAAGAATCTTCTCCCCCAACGCAAAAGTGAAAGTTCTTTAGGATTAAATTGCGTAAGTCGTATGTTTCCTACACATTTATGGCCCTTCTTTAAAAGGTCTCACTTTTTGAACCTCTTTTAAATTACAACGCCACTCCAATAAACGTTTTGAAATAATTTCAATCCCAAAAATGTAACCTCGGACGAGTTCTTTTGAGTCACAGAGGAAACAATGACCAGACAGGCGATGTTCCGCGCTGTCACCTTCAAGAGAGGCCGAAACGACGGGTAAACTTCGACGCAAAATGGAAAAAAAGGGGCCCTATAAAGTTTTATTGGAGTTGTAGAAACTCGGACCGAAGGATTGCACTTGGCAAAACGCGATTTGGGTCACGAAACACGAAGGCCGAGAGACAATTTTTCTTTTACATTTCAAATGCTCGGGTTGTCGGGTGCGGGGGTTACTGAACAACCCACCCTTGCTCTAGAAGCGTTTGTAAAAGCTGTTACGAATTCGGGAGAGGGTGGGCGAGCGAGCAGTCGAGTTCATTGGCATCTATGACTATGCAGTGGGCGACCCCCTTCCACCCTGAGACCAGCAACTGGTAAACAGGTTTCTGCAGTTAAATCGGACCCAGGACTCCCATTCTTTGCCCTCAGCAAGTAGAGTACAATAAAGCCGATAACATTCCAACTGCACGCAACGCAGTCTTAGTGGCTCAGATGGCCAAAGTCCCCACGGTTTATAAAGCCTCAGTGTCCATACGAAACCAACACCGTCCTTTCCCAGTTGAATCCAGTCCACAGTAAAGCAACCGATTTTAATATTATCTTCCCATGTTGGCCCTTTTCTTCCCAAATAGCCTTCTTCCATCAGAGTTCCCAGCAAAAATTTTGTGTGTACTTCTTATCTGCCCAATTACGAACAGCGCAGACCTCATGAAGCCCTCGTCTCTTAAGAACGAAGCTCGTCTAAATAGCATTTAAGAATCCAGTCCGTACCGCGAAGTAAACACAACGCCTCACCATTACAAAGATCAACTGGTTAACGCTGTTTAAGGAAATAATATAATTTATTCTTCTAATTAATTAACCATTTGGAGCAGAGACTCGTTCAAATAATATTTAAGAATCCAGTCCGTACCGCGAAGTAAACACAACGCCTCACCATTACAAAGATCAACTGGTTAACGCTGTTTAAGGAAATAATTGCTTTCGCAGCGAGAATCATACGAAAATACATACACAATAAGAAGTGTTACTGATCATTGAAGCAGGTGTTTAACGACGCCATTCCAACTACGCAGATTTTAAAGCGTCGAGTGGTAGCGTTATCAGTAATAAGTCACAAAAGGATTTTGAAGGAAGTGGCTGTGGCCTGTTTCAAGGTATTATTCCAGAAATTGTGTGGGGAGACTAAAGAGTTTCCTTATGGACAGCCGGTGGGATTTGAAGCCGGGATTTTCATTACGGTTTGATATTTAATAGTCAAGGAGTACAAGACGAATGGTGAAATTTAAGGTTCTCATGTAAAATATATACCACGGTTAATTCGTCAACCGCGAATCTCCACTGCACGTCGTTAAATGAACTGAGAATTAAGGAGATAATTTTCACTTGAAGGCCTGAGTTACTTTTTAAAATCTGGTAAGAAGTAATATTCTGATGTTAAATATAATAATTGTCTAAAACTTTGACGATGGTGAAGAGTCAATTGAATAAAAATTGTCCTTTGGGACTCTATCTCCGTCTTCAGGTTCCTGGGTCCGAAACGTCGTTTTACGTTTTATATTTACTAGACGATGGATAATATCCAAGGACAATTTTTATTCAATAATAATTGTCATTTTATTAAAAAATTAAACCTATAAACTCTAAAGAATGTGGCTTCTATGTAAAATATTAATACTACAAAGGTGACAGTCTAATGGATATTGATGGTCACACCTCTGAAACGTCGTCAATGAACCGCTACACGATATTCGAGAAGGCTCTCAACTTCACATTCGCTTAGAACTTGAAATATCACAAAGTAACAAGGTTTAAGGACTTAGAAATAATTTTTTATATCGTGTACCTTGAAAAGTTTTTATTTTTCAATCCGAAACAAATTTTAGTTGAATATTGTGACGCGTCGGTCTTTCTGCACTCAGGACGAATAATGAAGATGGAAGACGGAACTGCGCTCGCTAGACGCAAAGCGGCTCTGCAGATGTCAGTCACGTGGGGGCGAGGACAAACCTCTGTTTCCTTTCTGCTAACAAAAAGCTTATTTTTGCCAAAAGACGCGGAAACCGGGCAGACATAAGAATGAACCGAAACGTTACGCAACTCCTGTAAACAAGCAGGCTTGCCAACTCATAGAAGTAAGAATATACCTCGACTCCCTCTCAATAACAACGCAACGTCTTTTAATTCCTATTGGATCGTAAAGTAACTCCTTAGGGGGTGGAGTCGGAATGAACCGACTTAACAAAGAACTCTTGTTTGTTTGTGTTCGTAACCCAACAAAAGGTGTGTGTGGGCCGAGGATGGAACTACCGCGCGGATCTTCATTAAAATGTGAACGCGGTTCTAGGCCAAACCTAACCTCACCCATTTATTCATTACTTTGAAAAAATAATCTTTTCAGAAGTCACTCAACCTGGGCCCTAAAAGCCACGGGTCGGTGGGTTTCAAAAGAGCTGAGACGTTGATCTGTTATTATAGACGTATCGTAACTGCGTCACAGCCAAGCCAATGAAATTTGTTAACGAAAATTAAAATGTCCTTAAATGAAACATGAAAGGCCCTGAACTATGACATTAAGAAGAGTAAAACCACGAGGGATTGGCGAATACTGCAACTTATCAGCGTCTGGTCTACGCGATGATGTTAAATGATTTTGTCAAGACTTAGATGTGATGTAGAAAGGAGCAGAGATCCTTTGTCCCAGGCAGAACTGGAAACTCCTGTCGATGTCAGGAGTTAAGTTAAATCAGTTTAAGTTACGTATTCTAATCTAGCCTAGGAAAAATACTGAGGACGGATTTAGGATGTTTTCTGTTAGGTAGAAATTATGGGCATGCGTTTATATGTGCGTGTTCGCTTATAATACGAGAACGAATGCCAAAACTTCGGATACTTATTTCTGATTTTTTTTTTAAAAAAAACTTAAACGTTCCTTGAGGTTTCGATTCCCGGCGGTGCCCGAATTTATAACTTGTGTTGGGCAAGGCCGTGGTCTAGGCAACACGGAGTTTTCCTCCGGGGGCTTCCCAACAATTACTCCATTCACACACAGAAGAAGGCAATGGCAAACCACTTCTGGATCATCTGCCAAGAACGTATATGAACAGGTCCCAGTCCGAGAAAAGGATGGAAGGATCCTGTTCATATGGACCTGTCGTCAGACCACGATTATACCAAGTCGCAAGGCACATTCGCGAGGAAATTAAAAGAGCCAGCTGAATCCGGTGGCAAAGCTCGCAGTTCAGAATTGCCTTCTTGTCCGGCCATCAAAAGGGTGCAGATTAAAATATGTGGGTGTAAAACTTGGTCTGTCACAGAATGACGTGCTGGGGGCGAACGGAAGTCAGATGAACTGCATTATGGGAAGCTTCGTATTTTGTAGCCCTCAACAAAGCAAAGAAATATGATGGGCGGACACATAGCACGCGTTGGAAGGCAACAGAAATTCGTAAATTTTTGTCGGGAAATCTGAAGAAACACGCCTGAGAATTAGGCACAAATGGGAAGATAATATTAAAACGAATCTTAAAAAAGTAGGATGTGGACTTTTTCCAAAGCTCTCGTTATATGCGGACGCAGTAGCCAACTTTTTTCATTCTATAAAAAGCGGGAAATTTCCAGACTATCTGGTCGACTGTCAGCTTCTCTAGATCACTTGCACCTGGATAAGAACAGAGGAGTTTTCTGAAACACGACAAATGATATTTGCTTACCTTTCGAGTGGCGCTTTTGGGGTCAATCGGCGAAATGCCTGAAAACAAAACGAGACAAGTTTTAGTTACAAAAGGTAAAGAGTTCTCTGTCTGCATCGGTTGCCCATTTAAAGGACGTCTACCTTGAGCGTCGCCGCGAAACTTATCTCAGAAAACCTCCACAACTTCGCCTTCTGCGTGTCACTGGAACCACTCACAAACCGAATTTATTCCTAAGGCGTGGTAATTATATGTACCACCTTCTTTAACCACCAAATAACTCTGCATTTTTATTTATGTGTTTTATATTATTCTCATCGTAAACAGGGTTGTCTTGTGGAAGTTTGCGGACGTTTCACAGGTGCTGGTTTCGTAAGTCACCAGGGAGCCTCCCTGAAACATCGGTAGCAAGGCTCCATCTTCTTGGTTTTGACGCTGTGAGAAAGTAAGATTGTGTTACAGAGGAATGCAGACCACTCACTCACACTCTCCCATCACTGTCATGGCCCCCGGATTATGCTCACTGGCTTTTAAAAGAGTTAAGTCTTCGTTTGTCTCAGTGGGTCGCAATTTTTTAATCACCCGGTACTCAAGTGTCTACTGAAACAACACATCTTTGTACGTGACGTAAAATCCCATTACGGAGAGCTTCATTGAATTGTTTCTTAACAGATGTCACTTGCGACGCGGGGCAAGGCACCAAGAACATGATATATGACGGCTTTGATTCTGAGAAGGGGGAGTCATTAGTCATGACTTCGAGCCCTTTTGACGGCGCCGGGGGGCGGGGGGGGTGCTATGCTGTGCAGGGCACCTGGCGGGCGGATCGCGAGTCACAGAAATACGTCGTAGGCTTGCCGATTAACAGAACAGCTAACTAACACCCTGTTAAATAAATTCATTAGCGTAGGGACGAAGGCATATGGAGGTGTGACGAAAAGATAAAAAAGATTTTTAAGGACTAAGCATTCTTGTATCCAAATCACTTCTTCAGCTATGAAAAATAAATGAGCTGGATCTAGAAGCCATTACTGTGTTACGTAAATCAGTTTTGCACTGTGACCTCCCAAACCTCACTTCCTTCTTTGGGTACATGTGTTTTATTTGTTGTTCAAGTGCTTAAGAGTAGCAAAGCAGAAACTTGTAATCATATCAGGACAGAATGGGAATGGATGGTAAACGTCAGCTAGAGGTTTCTGCTGATGATGTTAATTTGATGACCGAAAATGCAGCTAACGCTAGATTTATTACTGACTTCCGATTTAGGAAGTTTCGCTGCGACTAACAATGTAAATTTATGCATATTTTTCCCTTTTGCTAACATAATGTTTTTACAACGAAGAACCTAACCTAATCCAATCCAGCCTAACCTAACCTAACGTAACCTCACCTCACCTAACCTAACCTAACCTAACCTAAACTAACCTAAACTAACCAAACCTAACCTAACCTAACCAAACCTAACCTAACCTAGCCTAACCAAACCTAACCTAACTTAACCTAACGTAACCTAAACTAACCTAAACTAACCTGCTTCGTAACTGAAGAACGCGGAGGAATACAATTTTTGTTGTTCGTGCTGTGACTACAGTAAAGGGCGTACAATGCAAACGTTTGATGTAACATTTCATCAATGCTTTACGGGGTTAAAGGGGTAATAACTATCACAACAAAGTAATATTGTTCTTATGTGTATGACTGTACAGTATTCAAACACACATGGAGAGAAATAATTGGGTGATTTCTGTGGGATTCGGAATTTTTTTACGTTGAAATTAACGGCAATTTCATTTTTAATTTACAAATCTTCACGTAACCAAAAATTTGCCTCGAACGACCTGCGTTCGTAAACCGAGGTATGGCTTTATTCATGAGAACATCACAAAATATTGCACAGAAATCCTACTCGTACAGGCTGACAAGCATCGCACTGAGTTATCTGTAGGGATCTATGTTATTGATGTAGATCTACCAATAAGCGCTTCGCACGTGTGGCATCTTCCCTCGATGAAGGCAGCACATTGTCCCGAAACGTCGGTAACCAATGAGTAGACTACACGGCATCGTAACTGAGAAGACCGAGGTTTCGAAACTCAGCGCAGGCAAAGACGAAACGTGGCCCTGAGCCCTAGCGACGAGACACGGGATGCGTGCTACACGGCGAGCCAATCCCACGCTTTAACACGCGGCTCCTGAAGGTTCTCCGTTTAACGACTCGCGGTCCCCAGTCTTATAATTAATCGATGACAATTTATTCACACGCCCTGGAAATTTATTAAACGTAGTCCAATGTTTTCGGTTGACGCAATGCTCAGTGGTTTTATTCAACAAAACCATGTTTAAAAATGGTTTTCCTCAGGTACAATTTTTTTTAGCTAAGATTATCACAAGCATCCCTCTGTATGTTCGCCAAAAAAAAAAATATACGCGGATCGCGGGTTGAAAACCTCTTCTAAGACAGAATTAGTTTACGGTAATGCAGGTTTCAGAATCCTGCACGTCAGAATTTCGCATCTGATAGGCCCCTGAGTTACCACAGTTACGTATCTCACCAGTTAATGTCCAAAATATTGACTTGAACTGACTTTAAATACGTGAATTTTGTGATTTCCACAATTTCCCGCGTACATTGACAGTTCAGGGCGCAAAATGGAACGAGTTCGGTCCCAGAATATAATTTTCCGTGAGGTGTGAAATGATGACTTTCACTTTCTGGTCGTGTTTTCAAAAGAAATGACAGACGACGTTTCCAGGGGTTGAAACTGAAAAGAACAGACCTCGTCATCGTGCCAACTGCGAAAACCAAAAAAAATGCGAAGTCATCTGAACGGTTGACCCCCGCGAGCGAGCGGGTGGTCACACTGACCACCGTCGTACGGTCTGCGTTTACAAAGAAGAAAGCGTACCTCCGAAACGTCGGGAAAACTTTATAAACGATACTGTTGCTCTCAGTTGCTCTGATAAGGCGATGGATGAATTTTACTGGACGTGGGATGAGGCACTTGTGTGACGGACTAAGGAAAACCACGAGAATCCTCATTTCGTCATGGTCGGTCTGTGGGATGAGATTTTAGCCGGGGACCTCCCAACTCTCAGCGAATATCACCGTTAAAAAAGATTTCTTAATTCGTATTTTTCTCGAAAATTAATGAAACGCTTGTTTTTACTCAATTCAAAAACTTATTCATAAGACAGTATAATTGCGTCATATTGTGAATCGAATATTAAATTAATTATTCGGTTTTGTCCGTCTAATCACAATTATATTTAAAATTTAAAATTTACAAATAAGATAATTAAATTATCATTTTATGTTCCACATCGAATAATCGATTTACATTTGGAACATTTTTTACAATTATTACAGTTTATTGATATAATTTTACACCTGAAGATGGTTCGATGAAACCGAATCATGTTGTAAAAATGTTCCAAATGTAAATCGATTATTCGATGTGGAACATAAAATGATAATTTAATTATCTTATTTGTAAATTTTAAATTTTAAATATAATTGTGATTAGACGGACAAAACCGGATAATTAATTTAATTCAAAAACTGATATCTCGTCTGCTATCCAAAACACTGAAGATCACGATTTATAAAACAATAATTTTGCCTGCTGTCTTGTATGGTTGTGAAACATGGTCTCTTACCTTGAAGAAAGAATGTGGATTACAAGTGTTTTGAAAATAAAGTTGCTCAGGACGATATTTCGACCTAGGAGGGATGGAATAAAGTGGAGAATTTAGAATATCTCATAACGAGGACCTGTGTGAATTCCACGGGTCACAGTGAGGATATCGAAATATATCAGGTTCCGATGGACTGAAAATGTAGCACGCGTGGGGTGGAAGGCACGGGGTGTCTACAGAGTTCTGGTGGGGAATTCTTTGGAAAATACCATTGGGCAGACCAAGAAAGAGATGGGAGGGTAAACATCAAGATGGACCTTAGGGAGGTGGGATGTAAGGATGGTAAATGGATGGAGTTGGCTCAGGATCGTGGCCGGTGGCGGGCTTTTGTGTCGTCGGTGTTGAACCAGCGCGTTCTACTACCACTGAGTTAGTTAGTTAGTTAGCAAAATTAAAAACAATTCAAACTTTGAGTCCGAATGAATAACCAAAAAGTGTGGATGCTGCGAGGATCAGTGTTGCAGTCTTGGCCACGAACATTTCCCTCTCAGCGTCTCTGCGACACTAGCGACAGTGTCAGACGACTGAAACTGAAAGAACGCGCGTGGTGAATTATGGGTCATTGTGTCCCGATAACCCGCTGCTGCTGTTCCGTGTTCAAAGGCATCTTAAGAAAGGACATGACGCGACTCGGTCCCATATATTTGCCTTTGAAAACCAGGGGTTAACAACGCTCGCCTCGTGGCGGACCAAGATCCTCTTGTAGTTGTCGCCCAAGCCCTAAAGTTCACAAAATCTCTCCATCGGTTCGTATCACGTGCCAGATAAATGTAATGAAAGTTCAGTTTCTCACAAATCTGACCTGAATGGCGCCTCACGCTCCACCGTGAGCGATGAAGGAACTAGGCAACGCGCATGACGCGATGTTCTTATTACAACAATGAGAAAAATATCGTCTTTGTTGTATCAAGTTCTTGTGCAACAATGGAAATTGATATTATTTGAGCACTCTGTTGCAACAATGTTGTCAGCGGACTGTGGAAAAGCGAATGAAACTTTGGCGTCATAAGCCAGAATAACAACGCCGACTACCGGCAGCTGTGAGAACCTCAAATCTGACGAGTAAGAAACAAAAGAAGAAGAGAGACGCGACGTGTTGGCATTGCGCATGCGTGTTGGAAACAAACGAATTAAATGTCATTAAACGAGTCCACGTTGGTGTTTGTAAGGTTTTTCAGATGCTGTATCAACTGTTGTGCTGTTTTGTCGTCATTATTTGAAAGAATATTGATTTTTTAAAAAGTCAGGAGGAGATTAAAACTTTTGTATGACGTCATGATGAAGGCACGGTATTAATGCATGCATGTGACGCCATTTTGTGTTTTGGTCAGTCCTGTGACGTGCGAGAGGGCAGTTGGAAGCG